CATGCAAATGGATATCGAATGAATAGATGACCAGTTCTCTCCTCGCTGTTCATGCACATATAACACCTATTAGCTAACAACCATCCTTTTCTCAAGATTTTCTTGTGGTAGGATCTTATTGTGGTAGAGGCAAGAACCACATGAATCTGCAAATCTCCAATGGCACATTATGTTGACATATCAACTTAAACAGAAAATAGGAATATCTAGCAAAGCAGTTACGCAGAAGGCATATGTAAGGAGAGTTCATAGAAAACTCAGCAGGACGGTTTGGCCCCCAAAGAATTCAAGTAGGACCTTATAAACAAAGGATTTCGGTATTTGATAAAGTAAATTTAACAACTCATTCATTTCCCTCTCTGCCCCTCCCGTTAATGAATATAACAAAGGAATTCCCAATTCAACTCCATCATTACTAACATCCTGAATGTCAGAGACCCATCAATCGTAGTGAACAATATCTACAACAACTCTAGGAAATGCTTTTGCACGGATAACACCAGGGATTCAACAATCAAACCAAAATGAGAGCCATGCACCACCTTCCAAATTGATATGTGCAAACTTCCAGAATGTCTGAGCTTCCTGGATGATGCTCTTCCATAACAAACATCCATCACTTCTCGAACCATACATGTCGTGCTATAGAGACTTAGTATTAGAATACTTGATTACAATAAGTTTTCTCCACCAGACCTCCCTTTCAATGGCAAATCGCCAACTCCAATTACATAGTAATGTCGTATCCATGTTCTCCATATATTGAATCCTCAATCCCCACCAATATCAAAATTACTAAAATTTCCAATTGCACAACAATGAAAAAGAAATCATGTAAATTTATGCAATGATTATCTACGAATTGCTTGTATCTTTTAAGTATGTTTTAAACTTGGTTGGTCCAACTTCAAAACTTCATCTATTGACCATTAGAAAGAAATTATGAGTAAAAATACCTGGATTAATTATAATTTTAGGATACATGACATGGAACAAACTTATTTCCAAGCTATTAGCATCCAGGCTGCAGAACGTATTACCATCTATTGCTAATAGAAATTAATTAACTTTTATTGAAGGTAGAAGTACTCATGAGAACATATTAATGACCAAAGAAATGGTTCATAAATATCACTTTAAAGGCATTTCTTCCCATTATAATGTGAAAGTGGACTTGATGAATGCTTTCGATTCCGTAAGTTATGATTTTCTTTTCTATGTCTTGATAGCTATGGGCTTCTCTGATACGTTTGTGCACTGGATTCATGAGTGTGTTTCAAATTTCAACAGCTTTCTTTAGTGTCAATATAAATGGTAGGCTATGTGGGTTTTTCCCGCTGAAAAATGATTGAGGCAAGAGGATCCCTTTTCTCTACCTTTTCATAATATCAATAAAAAATCCGGCTCTCTTATCATCTGCCATGCAAGCAAATTGGGTCGACCATATTTGTTTTGCAAATGGTTTACTCATCTTCACTTAAAGTTCTTTATTTTATCTTCAATGTGTTAGGTGTATCCCAGATCACTTGTACCTTCTTTAAGGGCTCAATAGTAGTCCAAGGAAATGTGTTGTGTATTCTTGGAGGAACTGGTATTAATTTTCGTGTTATTGCTCTTAATGCTAATGGTTTCCATGAAGGAGAGTTGTTCGTTATTCATCTTGCGCTTTCCCTAATAGCTGGCAAGCTTGATAGATAGAAGAAGAATTAGGGATTGAGAAGTTGGGGTATTTAGGGATTGAATAAGAGAATTAGGTTTGAGGAAGAGAATTGGGGATGAGAGTTGAGAGAGAAGATTAGGGATTGGGATTAATAATCTGATATATTCTTCATAATGAACGTAGTGAGGTTCTCCCCCTTAAATACTAATAACACAAAACAATAACCGATCCACCCGGCCCACACTCGGCCTTAACCCGACCCGACCCCATCTTCTGTGTCCATCATCCCTCCCCTCTTCGGAACCGACATTGCCCTCAATGTCAAAGGACGGGTAACGCTACCTCAAGGTAGATGTATCCTCCCACGAGGTGTCCTCCGGTATCATGTGCTTCCATAACACCAGGCTTTCCTCCATTAGTCGGCCACCCTTGCGCTTCCAACGCATCTCCAATACCTGCAGGGGAGTCAACTCGAGGTCTCCATCAGCACTCACCGGTGAGGCAGTCGTTTCTGCACGATTAGCCGGTCTGCGGTAACGTTGCAACAACGACAAATGAAATGTCGGGTGAATGCGAGGATCCGGCGGTAACCGTAGCCGATACGCCACTGTATTAACCTTCTGCACGATCTCATAAGGGCCAAAGAAGCAAGCTGCAAGCTTCTAGTAAGCACGCCGAAATACAGAGGCCTGGCGATAGGGATGCAACCGGAGCAGTACCAAATCACCAACAACAAATTCCTCCTCCCGTCAGCCGGAATCCGCCGCCTGTTTCATCCGATTGTTGGCGGCTGCCAAATTGAGCTTAAGCTGCTGCAGAACCTCGTCACGGGAGCCCAACCGACGGTCGGCCGCATCGACGCCACTAGCCCCACTCCTGTAGCGCACCAAAGACGATGGTGGGCGGCCATATAGCGCCTCAAACGGGGTCATCTTGATAGCTTGATGGTACGTGGTATTGTACCACAGCTCGGCCCACGACAGCATACCCAGCCAACTCCGCGGTTGCTGGGGTGCGAAGTAGCGCATGTACTTCTTTAGGTGTCGATTTATCACCTCCATTTGTCCATCAGTCTGCGGATGATAAGCCGAACTCAACTGCATCGCTGTTCGAGCCTTCACTCGTTGGCAGGTATCACAAGAAGTCACATAATCTTTCACTGTCTGCGACATACGTGCAATAAAAATGGGCCTTAACTCTCCGCAGAGTCCGTTCCGCGCCTGAGTGACCCCCAAACGGTGAGTCGTGGAATTCTGCGAGAACCGTCGTCACTAGTGAGGACCACGCGGGTAGCACCACGCGACCCTTGAAGTTCACCAGCCCGTGCCGGAACACGTACCGGCCAGGCGTCTCGCTCATCGCCGTGTGACGACACTCCTGCAGGTAGGGATCGGTCTCAACAAGGGACTGCAGCTCATCCCAAAACTGAGGAACGGGTCCAGATATGGCCGCCAGCATCTCACCACTATGACTGCGAGAGAGTCCATCGGCCACCACATTCGTGGGACCCGATCTGTAGTGAATCGTGTAGTCATACCCCATCAGCTAGGATGAATCAGTCCTGTCTCTAGCATTTCCCCAACCTGCTTCTCGATCTCGGTCTTCTGCGAGTGTCCGTACCTATATGGTCGCACATTAACAACTTCAAATCCTTCCTTCAGTCGGATCTGATTGTCCACCTGGCGATGGGGTGGCAGAACCGATGGTGTCTCGAACAACTCCTGGAACTGGGCTAACACTGCTTGCAGCTCCTCGTCCACCTCTCGAGGCTCCGTCAGGCCGATCGGCCAGCAGAGGATGGCGAGCTCCATGTCTCCCTCGCGCGCGCACACTTTCATGGAGATGGGCCCCATGGCGGTCGTCAATCCTTGTAAATTCCATTCCTTGTCCCGCCATTTAAACTGCATCGTCAGCAAATTCTAGTCACTGACAACCGGTCCTAAGCTACGAAGTCACGGGATGCCCAGAATCACATAAAATCCCCTGAGCGGTAGCACACACAAGTCGGTCGTGATCTCCAAGCCTTGAATCACCAATGTGATCCCTTTGTAAATCGCCTGCATGGGTGCGTCATTGGCCACCTTGACCACCACTGGTGCTATCGGGCTGGCGTCGTGCTACAAGGTCTTCGCAAAATTCCGCACTCACAAAGTTCAAGGAAGCCCCGCTATCCACAAGAGTAAGCGCAGGCCGTCCTTCCAGTTGTGCACGAAATCGTAGAGTTCCCGGAGACGAGTGACCTGTCACGGTGTGGAGCGATAGCTCTAACGTCGCCTCTCCGAGCCTTCGCACGTCCTCCGCCTCGGTTCGGGCTGCCGACCCGCCTTCCAGCCTCGGCGCTGCGCCTCCCTCGACTGCTCGCGCGGTGGCTGCCTCACGACGCAGCGGGGTCGACCTCCGCTCCCTCGCCGCTGCCAGCCTTTGCTCGAGCGCGGTGTGCTCGTGCTCCCAAGCTCGGACGCGGGCCTCCGGCTGGCGAACCTTTTCCAGCATCTGTGATCGTTCCGAATCGGTGAACTGTGACGAGCTCATTTGGGATCTGATACCAATATGATAGATAGAAGAAGAATTAGGGATTGAGAAGTTGGGATTTAGGGATTGAAGAAGAGAATTATGGTTTGAGGAAGAGAATTGGGAATAAGAGTTGAGAGAGAAGATTAGGGATTGAGATTAATAATCTGATATATTCTTCATAATGAACGTAGTGAGGTTCTCCCCCTTAAATAGTAATAACACAAAACAATAACTTATCCACCCGGCCCACACTCGGCCTTAACCCGACCCGGCCCCATCATTCGTGTGGCCATCAAAGCTACCTAGTCGTGACTACGTCCTTATGTTTGACGAAATCACTAGTAGGGTAAGGACATGGTGAGCTAGTAAGCTGATTTATGTTGGGAACTTAAAACTTGTTTCTTTGTGTTATATTCGTTTCTGCAACATTGATGAATGTGTTTATATTCTCCCAGAAGATTACAATCCAAGTGTTGAAAATTTGTTTTAACTTCCTTTTTCGTACTAAACAAGATTTGGGAGCAATCTTAGAAACATGAAACTATGGGTGATAGCTAAATAGTCAGTTAGCAATTGAATCATTAGACTAACTAATAACTAGCTAAAAAGGTATAATTATAACCAACCCACCTATTAGTGGCACAAAAAGCTATTACATCGGTATTTCTACAATGCGTCAACCATCGCGTTTGACTATACAATATTTAAGAGCTGTGGAGAAGCTTGTTAGCTAGGTATGTGTATCAACTATCAAATATTAAACAGTGAGCAACATATTATTATTATTAAGCTCATACGATATTTCTGCAATTTATATAATAATATTATTATTATTATTATTACAAAGCTAGTGGAGTTACAGGGTTAGTGAGCCAAAGCCCTCTAGGCTCTCTCTACTATCTACCGCATCGCATAGAGAAGGAAGGAACCGGGAAAAAGAAGACGACATTTAATTTGGGCCTATATTTGCTGCAACTGCACTATTACGCTAGGCTTGAGGTTTACTTGGGTCGACGGGCTCTATCAACAGGCCCAGCTTGCCTTGCTAGCTGCACGATTCCAAGTTCCAACACAAGAAGAACACAGACCCATTAGATTATATTAGAAAAATTAATGCACCTTTCTTTCCACCAAAAATAAAGAAACTGTTGATATATATGTATGAGAAATTTTACAATGCTATATAGTATTGGTGCTATAGGTTTTTGCCTTTATGGTACAGGTTAAAATTGTACATTTACGTTATGGTACAACCTTATATTGTACCTATACTTTTTGTACAAATTCTTTTATGGTACAACTTGAACTTGTACATTTATGTGATGGTACAACTTCAAGTTGTAAAGTTGTACCATAACATAATGGTACAAATTGCTTTATGGTACAACCTAAACTTATACATTTAATGTTATGGTACAACTTTGAGTTGTACATTAAAGCACCAATGCTATATAGCATAGTAGAAATGCTCATATATGTATACCTGGAAAAAGGTCTCCAGCTTCTTTCTCAGAGCTGTATATTCTTTCTTCACCTGCTGGAATGTCCTCATGCATCTGCACCAACACCACCATCCCCATGCAAACAGATCAAATTAGTTGGTTCAGATTGAAATGATGGATGCATATGTTCTTTCTCCTTTACTTGCTAAAATTGGGGATGGGGCCGGCCAGGAATAATAGTATATATCTACTGCGATATGTAAGAGGTCCAGCTTCAAATTTAGCCGTCCAAATTTAGTTTGTAGATTACCATCTTTTATAAAGAGTAGAGCCGGAAAAAATTGTGGAGAAAAAGGGGAAGGTCCATTAAGGTACAAGTAGTATTTTTACCCTTCTCCATTTCCAGCTCTGCAATATTCCCTGAAGAGAGAGCACTCTGCCTTCACCTTTTTGGCTCCAATACTGCTCCAAGAGCTTGGTTCATTAGTTTTTTTTTTATGTTGTGCTAAAGCCAAGCAGCTAAAGAATTATATATAGCCATGAATAATATTTACCTTGAGCTGCTTCCCCTGAACTGATGCATGTAGCTGTCCAACTTGTTGAAATCAATGGGACTTTTCTCCCTGCATGCCAAACCATTCTCAAACTTTTCAATATAATGAGATAGATTATTATCAAGTAAATAGTAAAGAAGAAGCTATAAAGAGGCTGATGTTTACAATGCTTGCTCGATGCTATGGACCAGCCTGGCAGAATCTCTGTAGTACAATGTGACAACTTCTTCCACAAAATTAGGGTTGGCATCGTCTTGCAGCTCTTCAAGCTGGTTGAACTGCTCATGGTCAAGGTAGCCCTGAAACACACCAACCAAAATCACTACTCAAACAACTTGTAACATATATATGTAGCCAGTTAGCTAGCAAATGGGAGAAGAGAAGGTAATTAGAAAGGTGGAAGTAGGGAGAAGAGAGTAGTTAACAAACTTGATCAAAAAGAGACTGCTTCATTGTGGCAACCTGCCTGTGTGACTGGTTTCTGTCCATATTAATGAGGGTGCTTCAAGTAAATAAACAAGAGGTAAGAGAGGTAAGTGGGAAGTGTGAAGGAACCTGAGTTATAATGCCAAGCCAGAATGGGGTATATATAGTGATAGAAGGAAGAGAGAGAGTGTGTGTGTGAAACTGAACTAGCAGGAGAGAGAAAGGGGTTGCATTTTGCATGATGATTGAGAAAGATTGCATCTTTAGGGACAGAAAATGACATTTCAATGTGTTGTGGGTATTAGGAGGGGTGCCATTCTGATTCTGCCAGAAAGGGTATGTGGGGAGAGTGAAGTGCATGGGGGAACAAAATATCAAGATGGGTTTTTGTTTTGTTTTTGTTTATAGTTAATTATTATCAAATCTTGAACTATACATGCATATGCATATTCTTCATGTCCCTAGCAGCAGCTCGAAGTATTGTAAGTTTTTAATCTTTGGTGTTTAGAATCTTCAATGCAACTCCCTGCAGCCGCTAAGATTGCGAGGGAGAGTGCCTAAATGCTTAAATACTGTACTTTGAGAATGAAATTAAAGGGTGTATTTATATATGATTTAGGTTAGCTTACACCACCACAAATTCATTGACTTTTGTTATTTAAACTATAAATTAATTGGAGTTTGTGGTATGATACAATACCCTGATATTTAGTGGATGTACGTCAGTCTTTAATTCTCTTACCCAAAATATATGATTGATTTAATTTAAAAATAATAACTAACGATTTTGATTTATATAAAAAATATATTGAAGTGTATTTGTGTATGTAGTCTGTAACTCAATATATATATATATATAAAATACATGGTGCCTTCTATGGTACCCCGGGTGAAATCCGGGTTACCGCATACCTTGAGTATGAAAACTCTATCTAGACCTCGAATTAGCAGGATTTTTGGGCATGATACTATACCCTAACCCTTAATGAGTGAACCTTAGGTCCTAATTATCTAAATCATAAATTATAAACCCTAAGATGGTGCATTGATTTTTTGCCTATATTTGGACGAATCATAACCGTCGATTATTATTTTTAATTAAATTGATCTTGGGGTATAAGATTTAGAGAATTAAGACCTAGATTTTGATCTTTAAGGGTTAGAGTATAGTATCATATCCGAAAGACCAGTCAATTCAAGTTCTGGATAGCGTTTTCTTACTCAAGGTATGCGGTACCCCGGATTTCACCCTGGGTACCGTTGAACTCCCCATTATATATATATATATATATATGTGTGTGTGTGTGTGTGTGTGTCATATATATATATAGGGTGACTACTTCGGTGCACTCACAAAAATGAGTGCGTTCAATCCACCCAACTCAAAAACTAGTCTTAAGGTGTCGGATTTTGAATTTTAATTTATAGAATTAGTGTAATATGATGATATAACATATGATAAAAACTAATTAGCGTATTACCCTAAGCCCTAATAAGTACGTATTTGTGAGCACCAATAAGTACGTAATAGTGGGTGGTTATTTTTTTAGAATTTACATCTAGTTTTCGAAGATAACTTTTGCTCTTCAAATAGCAACCAGAAATATGAAATTGATTCAAAATTAACTACTTTGAATTCAAAAACACTAAGGGTAGTTTTGAGAATATGAGTTTAAATCTAGTGATTGTAAGTAGTTCAAAAAAAATTATGATTAATCAAAAATTGTATTTAAGCCTTGGGAGTTGCAACTCGCAAAGCTCCTTCTCAAAATTTTAATTGCGCCATCACAACCATCAAACTGCTATAGAATAGAAAGGCAAGTATTATTGTAATAAAAGCCCTAATACTTATGTACTCTCAACTGGAATGGAAAATGGGTGCTAGCAAAAATTGAGAACTCCTTCAATAGCTTTAACGAGACTTGATCTAGGGAAAGGGCAGTCAAGGTGTCATAAAGTCTAGTGCATCTTTCTCTCTAAACAAAACTAATCCCCATAATCCATAAAAGTCTTGCAACTGCATCACTAGGTTGCAGCCACTACTGCTTATCCCATGCCAACTACGGCTGCCAATCTGCAAACTCAGGCCAAACACAAACATTATGCAACACTCTCTTCAAAATTGCATTACAAAAGGAACAACCCCCAAACAAGTTATCTGTACTCTTGATACCCCCCCAGAAAAAGCACACAAATGGATACCCACTTGAACAGCTTGTCCTTTGTCTTTATTGTATCTAAGATAATCAGCATAGCACCACACTATGCTTAGGATAGACTGATTTGCCCCAAACAACGTGATACCATGGAACAGTGGGAGAGGGAACTCTGATTGATGACCATACAATTTAATCGAGTACTTAGCAATGATTGCACCATCCCAAGCCAATATATCTCTTGAATCATTAATGTGCTCTTGTGCCACACTTCTACATTTAAGAATTTTCTTCCAAATCCATATATTGACAGTGCTGACAGGAAGAGACCAGATGTTTCTTCCTTTAACACAGTACCTTTGCGCGCTTCCATGCCACCTATAGTGACCCAGCTTCAGCTAACAAATTCCACAAGTGTTTGATCACACAAGCCTTATTCCAAGTCTTGAAATCTTGAATTCCCAAACCCCTTGTTGCTGTAACAGTGCAACTTTTGACCAGGCAACAGGGGCTTTCTTCCTCTTATCACTATCCATACCCCACAAAAACTTGTTAAAAGCTTCCCCAATCAATTTAAGAACCTTTACTGGGATAAAAAAGATTGACATCCAATACTGGAATAAACTAGTGATAACAGAATCAATCAACTACAATTTCCCTACATAACTCAGTGGCCTAGCCTGCAATGTACTTATCCGTTTTGAAATTTTGTCCACCGGGAATTCACAATCAGCAGAAGTCAGCTTACCTGACAGAAGCGGCACCCCCAGATATCGGACATACAACTCACCCAATGAAAACCTAGACTGATTAGAAAGATGTTGATTTTCATCTTGTGAGATCCCAACACAAAACAACTGACACTTTTGAGGATAACACTTAAGACCTGAGACTTCATAAAACTTGGAAAGTAACTGCTTAACTCTAGAAATTGCCTGAGATGTCCCACTAGAGAAAAAACTAAAATATCATCTGCGAAGCAAAGGTGTGTGATCCCCAAGATCTTACAACGAGGATGATATGGAATGTGTTCAGCCTCTACTGCTCAAGCTAGAAGACAAGATAAAACCTTCTTAGCTATAGTAAATAGGTAAGGGGATGACAGATCCCCTTGTCACAATCACTTGGCAGCTGGGAAGTAACCACACAATCCTCCATTAAAAGAAACACTTAGCATAGGAGACGTAACACAAGCTTCAATAACCTAATATAGCTAAATGGCATGCCCATAACACTCATAACCTTGAAAAGAAACTTCCAATCAACTGAATCAAAGGCTTTCATCATATCAGTCTTGAGAGCACACCTAAGGGAGATTCTGTTCCTATGGTAGTCCTTAACTAATTCAGTTGTCATTAAAAAATTGTCTCTAATTAACTTGGCCTTCACAAAAGCATATTGGCTTCTTCCAATTAGTTTTGGCAAATCCCGTGACAACCTATTTGAGAGCATCTTGGAAATGCCCTTATAAATCACATTAAAACATGATATAGGGCAAAAATCTTTCATCCTTTCAAAAATGAGAAGCTTAGGAATGAGAGAGATGACTATAGAATTTAATTGCTTGTGCATGATTCCAGATTTGAAAAAATCCAGAATAGTATTCTCGACATCAGCACCAACAATCTCCCAATCAAGCTTGAAAAACTCTACAACATATCCATCATGACGCGGGGCTTTATCATTCATTCCCCATACTGAAGAAGATTTTTCTAATTTCCACTATAGTAATAGGGGCAGTCAAGCATAGTGCATCATCTGCATCCAACTTATTAATCAGTAATTTTTCAAAAAATTCAGTCAAAAATTGCTAAACATTCTGATCAACTTTCCCTAAGAGCCCTTTGTAAAAACTACTATCAACTTTCTCATCTCCTTTATTTTTTTCGACGAATGGATGGTTTTATTCATCAAATACGATCAGGAATACAAGTAGTGATTTGTACCTATCTGACTGTACAATTAGCAGCTCTAGCAAACTATACTACAACTACGTCGATCTGCTCCCTATATACCACAAAATTTGAGCGGTAGGAGAACTGGCAACACTCTGATCCCCCTGAGTTTTTGCTTCCATGACCCTCTGCATCTTCCGAGCCAAAGCTTATGCAGTTAACCGCTTCTGGCCATATAATTTGCGGCAGCGTTCTCTCCATACTTCACTGACTACCAAGCACCACAAAATCCTTCCAACTATGCACTTTTCCAGCTTCTGAGTTGCCTGCAACACTGCTTGATGCAGTGTGATAAAGACCCGCTCGGCGGGTAGGGATCGGGTTGGGTTTGGCCGTTTGGGCCGGAGTGATGGCATTTTTTTTATTTCGTGTTAGTTTTCTGTAACATCCCGAACCTTTTCCCGACAAGATACTGTCCGCTTTGGGCCTCCACACCCGCACGGTTTTCGACTTGGGGTGCAATTCAGGGTGACTTCCCATAAGGTCACCCATCCTTGTTGTGCTCCACACTGAGCACGTTTAACTTCGGAGTTCTCACAAGAACTCCTCCATTACACCCCAAAACGCGTCTTGTCAGTTAAGGTCGGTTTCCTACTTATGAACCATGGATCTCTCCCGTGCTTTGTCGATGTGGGATTTGCCTAAGGTGTTACATACACCCCCCCTTGGGACTCAACGCCCTCGTTGAGGTTTGCCCCACCATCGTTCAAGAGGGACGCGGAGAGGCTCTGATACCACTTGTAACATCCCGAACCTTTTCCCGACAAGATACTGTCCGCTTTGGGCCTCCACACCCGCACGGTTTTCGACTTGGGGTGCAATTCAGGGTGACTTCCCATAAGGTCACCCATCCTTGCTGTGCTCCACACTGAGCACGTTTAACTTCGGAGTTCTCACAAGAACTCCTCCATTACACCCCAAAACGCGTCTTGTCAGTTAAGGTCGGTTTCCTACTTATGAACCATGGATCTCTCCCGTGCTTTGTCGATGTGGGATTTGCCTAAGGTGTTACA